GGAGAAACTGAGGAAGCTCATGATAAAACTGTTAGGGAAGTTATTAAACGTGCAAAACAAATAAAAGCTAAATTTAATAAAGACAAGTTGCAATATAAGTTAAAAGAAATTAAATATATAGGACAAATATTCAGTGAAAAGGGTATGGAAATGGACAAGGATAGAGTCAAATCTTTATTAAGTCTAGAAGCTCCTAGAAATATAGCTGAGTTAAGAAGAATTATAGGGTCATTCAATTATGTTAGAAGATATGTACCAGAAATGGCTGAGCTTATGGCTCCATTATGTCAATTATTGAAAAAAGATGTTTTATTTCAGTGGTTACCAATACATGATAAAAATTTTTAGAGCTAAAAGAAAGTTTCAGAGGCTCCAGCTTTGAGTGCTTTTGATTCTAAAAAGGAAATTATAATGCAGTGTGATGCATCTCAGAATGGAATAGGTAGTTGTTTGTTTCAAAAAGATAACAATAACTGTTTAAGATTAGTAGCTTGTGTATCCAGAACAATGAACAATTGTGAATTAAACTATAGTCAAACGGAAAAGGAATTATTAGCTATTTATTTTGGTACACAAAAATTCCATAAATATATATATGGTGCTAAAAATATTCAGGTACAAACAGATCACAAACCATTGATTTCAATTATTAAAAAGCCTATTACTAAAGTAGGATCTCCAAGGCTTAGACGTTTGTGTCTTAAATTATTAAATTATAGATTAAATCTTAATTATATACCAGGTAAAGACATTCATTTTGCAGACATGTTATATATATATATATGAAAATACAGAGAATACTATGAAATGTTAGACATGGTTCATTCAGTTTCATTGCATTTGCCTATGAGTAGTGAAAGAAAGTCTGAGTTCAGATCTGAGACTAGCAAAGATAAAGTGTTATCTGAAATTATAAAATATTATTATCAAGGATGGCCTGAAGAAAATAAATTGTTAAAAGAATGTAAACCATATTTTAAATTTAAAGAGGATATCTATGTAGAATCAGGTTTAGTGTTCTATACTAACAAAATTATTGTTCCTAAATCTTTACAATTATATGTATTAAATTTAGTTCATTCTGGTCACCCAGGCATAAGTAAAAGTATTAAAAAAGCTAGACAGCTATTTTATTGGCCGAAATTGTCTCAGGATATTCAAATCTTTATATCTAAATGTAGAACTTGTGAGAAATTTAAATCTGCAAATACTCATGAACCATTGTTAATGCATAAGATACCTAAATTAAGATTTTCAAAAGTAGGTTCTGATATTATGGAGTATGGAGGGAAATCCTACCTTGTTGTTGTGGATTATCTATCACATTGGTTGGAAATTATACCAATAATAAATAAAAGTTCAAAGTCTGTTATAAATGCTTTTCAGGAAGTATTTACAAGGTTTGGTTACCCTACTGAAATTATAGCAGATAACAATCCATTTAAATCTTATGAATGTATTCAGTATTATAAATCTAAAGATATTTGTATCACTACCAGTAGCCCTCACTATCCTAGAAGTAACGGCATGTCAGAAAAGGCAGTAAATATTGCTAAAAATCTATTAAAGAAAGCGAGGGAGGATAATGTAGATTATAGAGATTTTCTATTAAGTTATAACTGTACACCTTTATCTAGTTTAGAAGTATCACCATCTCAAATATTACAGAGTAGACAGTTGAGAACTTGTGTACCTATTACAGAAAGCATGTTAGAACCTAAAATAGAGAAAAATATTCATAAATTGTTAACTGTGAAACAATCTATAACTAAAAAAATTCATGATAGATTTATAAGGAAGGGTGAAACAAATTTTAAGGAAGGAGAAAATGTAACTTATAGGACAGGTCATGATAGTTATTGGAAAAAAGGAGTAGTTATTAAGAAGTCTAAAGAACCTAGATCATATTGGATCAGTAGGGGAGAAAATTGTAAGCCCTTTAGGCGCACTTCTCATCACATTAAGAGGTCAAACACAAAAACACATAGTTTTAAGAGAGATTTTTTTGATTATTCTTTAAATGACAAAGTTAGTAATAATGTGCCAAATATTGTATCTGAAAATAGTAACCAATCAAATATCCCTCATAAAGCATGTCACACTCGCAGTGGAAGAATTATAAAACCTAAAGATAGACTCAATTTATAATGTAATTTTGTAAAATGTTTTTTTATTTTGTAATTGATTGTAAAAGTTTTGTTTTAAAGTTGAAGGGGGAGGTGTAAGATGAACGTACCTAGTTTAAATATGTATAAAGGAACGCATCTTAATTGACAGATGACATTAGTTAACATGTATGTACTAGCGGATCTTCCGGTTGCTTTCTCACCTTTGTTCATTCTCTTGATGTTAATAAATATGTTTGCAATTAAATAAGTTTTATTTAAATATAACAGTTGTATTCAGTGCCGAATTCAATTTATGCCATATTCCCTTTAGCGATGAAATATGACTGGCCATGACTTGGTTCTTTCTGATATCCGAAAATTTTTTGACATAATTCGTACGATCTCTCTATTATACATCCTCCATAAAGTCCCACATATCCTTACAATTATCAAAGCGCATTAATTTCTGTAATGTGTCATCTAACATATTTGTTGTAAGTATATGACTATTACAGTACTGTCTATTCTATTATACTCTTTAGAAATTTTTCTTATACATTGCCTTCTCTTCTGGTGTAATCATACCTTGCAATACTGGCTTCAATCTCTTACCTTCTAGTATATTTAATGCCCTTGGCATGCCTTTTAATATCATCAAAAACTTAACTTTAACTTGTCTTTTAACAGAACTTGTCTTAAAGTTTTTAGAGTTTATGTTTCCAATTTGTAACTTCGACGCTTCTACAATTGACCATATATTGATAATGGAAACGTTTTGAATTGATTTTAGCTTCTATGACACTTATACGCTCTGCTACCACTTTAAGAAATCAAAGGGAACAGTAACTGTAACAGATTAAATATAGAATATTAGTATATATATTTGTAGTGAAAGTCATTTTTGTTTCAACAGAACATTAACAAGTTGCTAGGTAACGCACAGATAAAGAAGAGTACTATTATCGTGAGACAAAGATCTCTTCTTAACAGAAATAGCCGTGTTGAATTTCATGTGTATTCATCTAGTGAGCTAACTCTACCTGCTTTTTCATTCTTATTCATCATCCCTCACTGGTGCACTGCCAGCGTATCCCGTTAGCGCAGGCGGGGTTACCATTCTATTATTATTCATTAAAAAAAAATCCAAAATCTCTGTTAAGTCCTACTAACTTTTCCTTTAATACTATTTTTGTGTATTCTTTTTATTTTCCTCAGACTTTTAACCCCTAAGTAAAAAGAGTGATGTTATAAGCATGACATGTCTGTCACACACAGACGACTATCGTAGCTCCTAAACGAATGGACCGATTACATGGAAGTTTTTTGTTTGAAAGCTGACATGACTAAATGATTTCTAACTGCAATTTATGAATATTTAATCATTCATTTCGAGGTCATCAGCTCGGGGTGACTTAAAATTTTAATGTTATTTATTTGAGATTCCAGCGCCGTCTAATTTACTTGCCGGTAGTCAGTGTAGGTACGTCATTACTTTTTGACCCCTTTTTTTTATGCAACTTAGAATGGCAATCAATCTGATCGAAAGTGGTAACCGTCGCCTATAGATATGGGCAGTACCATGGAGTATACTGTTTCGCCCATTATACCCCTCATGCGTTGTCATTCCTGAGGACTCAGGTGTTATTCCTCTATACCCTGTAAATTCACTGTTATATCCCACCCTTTAAAAACGAAACACAGCCATGCAAACACGACTGCTTTACAGTTGAAACACGAATGGGACAGAGGTACCCAAGCAAACGATTTTTGTACAAAGTCTCCTTCTGGTAAAACTATATACAGAGGCTATATATGGAGAAATCAATTATTATTGTAAACTTATATTTAACATAAAATTATTTATTAGACAAGTAATTTATATCTAAACAAATCATCTCATTCGATAATCCAAATTTTGATCCAATATAATTTTTGGAAATTCCAAATGTGGTGTGTGTGTGGGTTAATTGTATCTCAAGATAGCTTATCATTTTATCATCCTATCATCCTTAGCTTATCATTTTCCATCAGGTGTAGCGTTAGCGCAGTATTTTTAATTATTTAAAAAATAGTTTTAAAACCTAATAGAGGCCTAGTCCTAAGGAGGCATGCACAGAGGTAAGAAATTTCTTGTGTATATTTATATAAAGGAAGGGACAGGTTGGTCAAAATTATGGCTTTTTTTTCGCCACATGTGGTGCATTTCCACTACCATGTGGTGCATTTACGGTATTAACGTTAAAATTCTTAGTTTCGACGTCGCGTAATGTGTTTGAAATTTTACACGTATTGTGCATCCACGCGATACGGGATATCTACACTGTGCCGTCCACGGCCCTTCTTCGAAAGTATTTTTCCTACGCTTGTGGTGTTGAATTTACACAGCTGACTATTACGATTTTTATACGAATATCACATTGCTGTTTTTTGGTATTTTATAACATTTCACTTTAAAATATTATTATTCCTTACAGATTAAATCATGATTTTAAATAAAAAAACAGAAAAACATGAAATTTTGCTGGAAGAATTTCCACTGGTTTCCAATTCAGAATTATGGTCACTGTTTCAGTTTTGGCCAACCTGTTCCTTACACTCTGTATAGTAAATGTATTATTTACATTTATCCGAGGTACAGCAAGTAACATATAACAAATATTTTGTAACAATAGATATGTATAACAATGCTAGTAACACAATTATTTGATTATAATAGTCACGTGCAAGTTTTTAAAGATAATAATAACCAATTATGTGTTTACAATAAAATTTATATAAATGATAAGTAAGCGAAACGTAATCTACTTAAATACAATTATAATTGGAATCATCAAATAAATAGTTTTTTTTTTTATCAATATAAAATATTTCGAAATAAATTAAAAATAAGAGAACATTATAATAAAAACTGTATTTCTAGAATCATACAACAGTTTTTAAGTTAATTTAACTATGCACTCCGTTTTTATTTAGTTGGTAGCCAGGTTTATCGTCAGTTTACAGTAACTGAGGATTCCACAGTTTTATATTTTGGCTTGCTGTGGGTAAATGGTAGATATCGGTATTTGATCATATGCTGAAAGAGAAAATATTTGCAATTAATACACTGAGATTCCATTCGAAATTTAAGTCATTGAATTATCTATGTGTATTGTATTATATATATATATATATATATATATATATATATATATATATATATATATATATATATATATATGCACTAAAATATACAGTACAACAATAAGTTAATAACTATGTTAGCAAAGACGAACTTATCTCTAAAAGAGATAATAATATTACTTAGAATTTTTTTAAAACTATTATTATAGAAAACCTTCTTGAATAAAATTTCTAATGTATAATATTAGTAGATATAAATAACAGAACAATCTAAGAATTTATAAGATATTTTTATTCTTACCTTGATTTGTCTTTTCATGGTGATACAAAATAGTGTGATAAAATACATAACTAATATTGGCCAGAATACTGGTATATTGAAAGCATCAATAAAAGTGCAGCCAATAGCAATGAGTGTGCTCTTGGTGACAGAAAGCCAAAATTTGAATTCAGGCAATCTTCGTATGAATGGCCTGAATTCTTCAGTTGATCTAGTTGGTAAAGCTGGTCCATTATCATCGTCTCCTGAAACATGGTAACAAAAAAAAAGGTAATATTATTTATTCCAGAGTTTGACTCATGTAGCAGGTTTAGTTAAACATTAGAACAACAAATATTCTATTTATTGTCAGGCGATTATTTGTTACATAATTATATTCATTAGTAATGTTTTGGCCTGTATGGAAATGAAAGCCTTACCTTATAAGGAAATAAAACCAGAGAAATTGAACATTTCTCACAGAAAATCAATAGTAAAAAAAAAAAAAAAAAAATAACAATTGCAGGCTGTGTTAGTTTGGGAGGCGTTTTTATTGTAATTTTTCGATTCATTTTTCTTTTGGAAAAATATTTAGTTTTAATGATAGAACATTTTTATAAAAGTGTGCTAACGATTTCGATTTCACTTTGTAATAGGGTGAGAAAGAATTTATATAGAATGTGACATGTGGAAATATTGATACGAGGTCTGTCCGGAAAGTTCGTATAAAAGTGTTCTGGAATGCGAGAAAGAGGAGTGGGGAGACCAGGTAAGCGCAGGACCCCTTCCTTATGTCCCTAACAATGCTTCAGTTCTGGTCTGACCGCCGTGCGGTGCGAACTGGCTTGTCACGCCATCTGTGAAGTTACCTCTTAACGAAACCCCGTCGGCATGGAGCCCGCTTCCGTTGAAGAGCAGCGCGTCGTAATCAAGTTTCTCTCGAAACTCGGCAAGAATGGCCGTGAAATTGATGTCGAATTTGATGTCGAATTAAAATCCCAAAGCAAAGAGTGGAAGACATCCGGGGAACCACGAACAAAAAAAATCAAGAAAATCCCGCTCAAATGTCAAGACAATGTTGATTGTTTTTTTCGATGTTCGGGGGATTGTCCATCAAGAATTCGTCCCTCCAGGCCAGACAGTTGATGGAAAATTCTACGTCGATGTGCTCAGACGCCTCAAAGCTCGTGTGGCACGAGTTCGTCCAGAATTGGCGCGAGAGGGGCGTTGGATTCTTCACCACGACAATGCCCCTGCCCACACCTCTCTTGTTGTCCGTGAGTTTTTGAGTAAAAATTCCATTACGGTGACCGAACACCCCCCTATTCGCCGGATTTGGCCCCGTGTGACTTCTTCTTGTTCCCAAAAACCAAATTGGTACTTCGGGGGCGGCATTTGGGGGACATAAATGAGATAAAAAAAGACTACGACGGGGCAGCTGAGAAACCTACAACCAGAGGACTTTCAAGGAGCCTTCTCACAGTGGAAACGGCGTTGGCACAAGTGCATTATGTCACAGGGGGAGTACTTTGAAGGGGATAAAATTGATTTACCTGAATAATTGTAAAATAAAATTTTTAAAAAACTTTTATACGTACTTTCCGGACAAACCTCGTATATAAAAGCCTGACAAAACAGATTTAGACAAAATTAGGAGACAGGTAGTAAGGGAGGCCTAGAATGTTCAATTAGATTGTGTGCTATCAGAGGGAGGAGTCATGAATGTCCGGATTTGACGAAATTGCGTGAAATATGAAACGATGATATGATGAATGTGGATGTGGCAAGAAATGAATGTAACTATAGAGGATATTTTTACATGCTGGACTATGGTGCTTTGTTTCCTTATACACCTCTCAATTGAAAGCAGTGATGACAAATTAATCTTCTATTATTATATATCCATTTCATCATTATAAGTATGGATAGTGACTTCATACTGTATTCTTTTTCTATTTTTTTTTTTTTTATATATTTTAATAATACTGGAATAGTTCTTAAGTAAGTGAGTAAAAAACAAGTAATTTATATATACCAGTAGCTAGTTAATTGGTACGAAAGTGTAATATGTGTAAGATAAGTATGTAGGGTTGCGAATTTTCAAAAGAACCAATTTGGAAAAAAATTAATAAATTGCAGGTCGAGTGTAGAGTTTTGAAAAAGAATCTCAATTATTTGTTAACATTATTTTTAAATTTATATTTATATTGTTTCAGAGCAGTATAAATATTTAACGGTTTTTGAGAATAAAAGTGACTTTAAATATAGAGAACAATCATCGAAATTATTGCATCCCAGGATTTTGGGAGGTTAACTATTATTATCGCAGTCCTGGGATTCCGGTTGAGAACACTGGTGATAAGTGATGATAAATTTATTTTGGTTAATCTTATTTTAGAAAATAATAACTCACCATCAAAATCCATAGCAGGGTCTATTTTTGGTGTCAGGAATGCAATGAATAAATTCAAATGATAAATTCCAAGTGCATATGTAACTATATACCAACCCTGTAACATTATTTAGAAACATTTAAAATTTAAGGAAGGAGTGAAACACAAAAGATTCTTATCACATTCAAGTAATAAAGCCAGTGCATGCCAAAAATTAACACACAGAAATGTTATTTTATAATTGGCAGAAATTATATTTTTAATAAATATTAATCTTGTATATAAATATGTTAAATGTCTAATAATAGTAAACCTATATTAACATGTAGGCTACAAAATTAAGATTATCAGTGAAAAAAATTTAAAACTTACTTGTTTTGTGAATATTCGGAGCATAAAAATAATTAAAAGTAGTATACTTCCACTCCATCTCGTTTTTGTGTGGGGTGTCCATTTATCTAGTGTACCTTGATACACCTAATGCAAAAGACAACAATTATAAAGTTAGAATAATTTCAAAATTATAAATAAATGATGATAAAGAGTATATACATATGCCCTGGCCAGATCATACAATTGATCACTTAATGACATGGTCAAGCATTTCATGAAATGGTTGTAGTTCAGGATAACGTTAGCTAAAACTGATGTTATATATCGTTTAAATATCAATGTTTGATGATATGTCAATCCACACGTTTGGGTGACTTATGTAAAGTTACAAAAAAATTTAAATAAAATTAAGATATGTTTACAATAATAATAATTTATTTGAATAATTATGGTTGAAATTGATCTTAATTAATGTTATGGAATCACATATTTAAGACATTGTTTTAATGGCGTGCATAATGGTAAAGTCTTATTTATATGGATATATTTTATATAATTTCAGACCTTACTACAGTAACAATATTTATTTATAATAATAAGCAGCAAATAAAGTATCTTTTATCGAATAATAACATTTTTCCTAGAGCTTGAGATGATTTCCTAGAGATGTTTTAAATTGACTTTAAAATTATTTAGGGGTTGTTCCTATATATATATATATATATAAGCCCCAAAGACTATTATTTTTTTTTTATTAAAATCATACATTTAAATTAATTCTTTTTAGTGAATAGTGAACTTTGATTAAAATTCAATTTAATCAGGATTCCTATAAAAGCGTTTATACATAACTATTACAATTTTTGCATCAGAACTGAAAAAAATTGTATAGATATGGAGCAACAACATTATTTGACATGAGAAGAGATGATTAGAGTCGCTGGAATGTTGCAAGCTGGTTCCAGGCAACGTGCTGTCGCTCACAATGGATGCCATTGTAAATGAGCCTACAATCGTAGGCACGCGAACACAGAAATTAGGAGGCAGAAACTAGCGCTGTGTTTGTTTTTTTGATGAATCTCATTTCATGATAGGAGAACTTCTGAACATTGAGAACATTTGATTTTGTCAGGAAATTCATTCATATGGAGAGCCGACAATAATGGTGTGGATCGGTATTTCATTGGTGGAAAAACCAATCTCATTTGGCTCATGGGCAATCACAATGCTTGGATTTATGCAGAGAGGATTGTTTCAGATGAGATCATCCATTTGGAAAGCCCGTAGTGACTTAACACACATCTAGAGAAATAACATGCACTTTTTCCAATGCTTGCATCAATGTTTTGTAGTGGCCTGCTCAATCGTCAAACCTCAATTTGCTATTTATTTGACAATACACAAGATTAATTTCCCACAATTCGTAAAAATTGAAATTTTTCTTAATTTGTATAAAATATAGGAATAAGTTGTTGACTTAAACATAAGAATTAAAGTAAGAAGCCTGTCTGGTAGACTAGATTTGGTAAATATTAATTGGATAATTTTTTACAGTTAACAATGTACTTGATCTCTAGAGACTTGATGTGTGTATTTTACAATATTACTTTGACCATATCATGAAGAAGCCATGAGTTTTGCTAAACAAGTGAAAAACTTTTCATATCACCAAATGCTGATTATTCCTTGCTCTGGTCAAACCACATTATAATGTGGGTATTTTCCATTTCATGAAATATAACCATTTAATTAAGTAGTCAGCCACATGATGAAGTGATTAATGCTGCAATCTGGTCCCTACGTATATACAGAGTGTCTCTAAATTCTACATCCAATGGAAAGTGGGTAGTGATAGGAGACTATATGACACCCCGTAAAAAAGTATTTTAAAAAATCTAAGTCAAATTTTTTTGGTTTACAAGAATTTTACTGAAAACAATAAAAATTTGATACTGGAGTAAATCTTTAAGTACTATAATGACAAATGGGCAAGTTCTAGTGATATGTTTTTTTTTTCAATAATACTGTAAAAAATGTACCAAGCACTTTTGAAATTACATGCTATCATAGTCATAGTATATATAAATTTACTTATATATATTTTTTTTAAATTATTGTAAAATGTGGAAAGTATAATATCATTTTGGAATTATGAATACTAGCACCAACTTTTGAAATTACTTGCCACTATGGCTATGGTACATTTTTTTGCAGTATGTTTTGTTAAAGTCTGATGATATATTTTTTCTTTTACTAATTCAAAGAATAAAAGAATCAATTTTTAAATGTCATTGTTACATCTCTAGTTTAAATGTACTTGTGGTTGATAGCACAGTTAATTACACTACCAATAAAGAAAAACATGTCACCAAAACTTGCCCATTTGTTATTATAATACTTAAAGATTTAGTCCAGTGTCTGATTTTTCACTGTTTTCAGTAAAATACTTGTATACCTAAAAAATTTGACTTAGATTTTTTAAAATATTTTTCGAGGGTATTATGTAGTACCACTTTACCCACAGTACCCACTTTTGATTGGACATTGAATTTAGGGACACTCTGTATATAAACATATATTAAAATAAATTTTTTTAGAAAAGATACAATGTTTAAATTATATCATTATCGATTCTGGATTTAGTAACAATTTATATTAACAGATAGTAGGGAAACAGTCAACTTCTATTCTATATAATACATTATAATATTTACATTCATTCATATCAACTATTAACTATCCACTGCTGAACAATTAATAATATATAGAATACATAATAGGTTGTTCTTTTGACTACACTGTATTTGTTGATTGTGAATGACACATGAAGGTTCTTTAAACTAAGTGACACATTAAAAAGAAATTGAAAAGTATCTGTATTAGTCCTATATGAATTGATTATATTTAATTAAGTTATTAGGCTTCATAAATATTTTTATTATTTATATATTTACATCATAATGCATAAATGATATAATATGTGTTAATCAGTACAAAAATATAAAGTATCCTGAGTGTTAAGATATAACCTTCCCATGTACCAAATCTGATTCAAATCCATTTAACTGTTTAAGTGTGATTGAATAAATACAAACATCTTTACAAACTTTCAAATTTATAATATTAGGGGGATTAGTATTAAACAGATATTCTTTTAAAGTAGTAACGAAACTAACGACTATTTAGTGCCGTAGTTAAACCAATAAGTTTAAACCGAGTAGGTATATATGATTATGTCAATGTAAGTATAGTTGTAGATTAAAAGATACCTGAGAAATACGGGTCCAGGCTTGGGAAATAATACTCCTCCTTGTAGTTTCAGATGCTAAGTCGTTTCCGTCCATCATATTGTTTAGATTTCTGTGTAAAGTATTGATATAGGTATTCAATTATAGTAGTTACATTCATTGACAAACTGTAATACAAAGCAAATTAATATTAACTTAAATATTTCTTCGGTGATTTTTTTTAATTGAAATCACATTCAATTTTAGAATACTATAACTAGATAGAAATTTTCTATAAATTACAAATGTACATTATTAATCGGATCACTTTACAATTGACAGCTAAACGTAGACATGCTTGACATGACACTTTTATGACACGCACGGTCGATTCAGCAGGTCATAGATTAAGAATAGTACCTTATCTGATATTCTCTTTAAAATTGGCGTTTTATAAGGGGGGAATATGAAGTAATTTTTTTTAATATAATTTAATTAATCAAAGTATGCACGTTGTTATTTATGTACTTTGCCATCTCATAGATAGTTCATTGATCCCTTTACTAAAAAAGCTATGGGAGCAAAAATCAATAAACGCTTTGAAGGCGGTTTAAACTGCCGCATTGGAGTTAATTTTTTTGCTTGTAAGAAATTGTCCAAATTCCGGGAAAAATGGTAATCTGTTGGAGCCAGGTCCGGGGAGTACGGTGGATCGCAGACATTCCAATTGTAGCTCCTCTAACTCAGTAGTTGTTTATTGTATAGTATGTGGTCTTGCGTTGTCGTGAAGTAGCAGTGGCCTAGAGCGATTGCTCTAGGCCACTGGCCACTGCTGCTTCACGATCGACATTGGTCAATCAACCAATCTCGGTTGTTTAGCAGCTAGTTCTTTCTTCATGGTTTACGGTTGCTGACAATAGATATCTGCCGTAATCGTTTGGCCAGATTTTAGAAAGCTGTAGTGAATGTCACCGGCGCTAGTCCACCAAACACTCACAAGTACCTTTTTCTGAGTAATTTAGTTTAGGGCAGGATTTGGCTGGATCTCCAGAGTTTAGCCATTGCGACGAGTGCTTCCGATTATCGTACAGTATCCACTTTTTATCATAAGTAATGATTCGATTTAAAATCCCTATATTGTGTCGGTTGAGTAAAGTAACATAGCAATTGACGCGTGTTTGCAAGTTCGATTCACTCAATGCATGAGGTACCCATCGTTCAAGTTTTGTTACTTTCCCGATTTGCTTCAAGTGGATTAATACAGTTTTATCACTTAACCTGTATTAATCCACTTAATTTGTATTAAGCCTGCAGCTATCTCTGAAGTGTTTTGTGATGGATCCGCTTCCACAATAGCCTTTAATTCTTCATTTTCCACTTTGGTCTTCAGCCGTCCACGGGGTTGGTTCTGAAGGAAACTTTCCAGAACGAAAACTTTGAAATCAAAAACGTACCGAGCTTTCTTTTACGACACCAGCGCCGTACTTATTCTACTACTTCGAGCTGTTTCTGCAGCACTGATATCGACTGATACGGTAGATCTCGTACTCGTAAATATACTGTTATTTCATGTTTTCCATTGTGTGGTAATAAGAGACGTCAAGGAAAAAATAATGAGGAAAAACAAATGAATGACTGGTTTTAAAACTTAAATGTACCAGTTAAATGAATTTATACATTTGAATTTTGAATTCTTAACCAAAGAGATGTTTCAGATTAAAGTGGTCAGTACAACAAAACGCTAATTTCATATGTAAGGACCTAATGATTAATTTAATCATTGATAAATTGTCAATATAATCTGCTGATTATATATAATATTATGATAAGGTGTAGTTACAAATTTTGAGTATGATTAGGAAAAATCAAAATTAGTCTGAACTATTTCGTTTTATCATCTATGGGATTATACAATTATTTTTTAATTATATCGGACATAACAGACTTACGTGGGGGAACCAGTACTCAATTGTGAAATATTTTTTCTCCAAATTGTTATGATTTTCAAGATATTTACCACATCACAAAGTTGTATTATTTTGCACTACATTTTGTTATGCACTACAAAATAAACGACGGAAAAAAGGTTATCCGTATTTTGTTTCTACTTTTGCCTTACCTATGTACTTGTATAAAATTACTATTACTTAACAAAAATTTTCAAATTTGTATAAAAAATACACAAATTTGTTCCAGCCCATTTAACATTTCTCGTAAGATTTTAATTTCTTCAAAATTTCGATAACAGATTTTTTTTCTCAAACATGCTTGGAAATGTGAGCATTATTTTGACAATCTTCTTCGAGATAAATCAAAATTGCCGTACTGACCAGATACATGCGGGCAACGGCCAGCAAAAGTTATATGAAAATCCATATCTGTCGTGTTTTGCGGCCAGATAAATTACTATGTAAACTCATATCTCTCCTGTAATTAAAAAAATGAAATGACCTTTTACTTTGAAACATGGCTACCAAGGAGTTAACTAATAAAAGGTTTTATTTAAATTTCGAACAAGCTGGCAAATAGCTGTTTATTGAAGAAAAAAACAAAGGAACATTATGACACAAAAAATTATTATTGTTCGTTATTCGTCATTGAACTTAAAAGGTAAAATTGTTTTTTATTTTCGCGCATTGTTTGAGAAAAGTCCTATACAAGCCTTGGCCACAACTAGGCATTGATGGGGGGGGGGGGGGGAAGGATTGTTAGTAATGGAGAATCCCATTGCTAGCAATATACCCAACCATCGACTTCTTCGCGGTTCCCCCTAGAAACTATCATGGTTAATTCCTGATGAATTCATCATGATGGGCTAAATGGCCTGTTTTCATTCTCATCTATCACTCTTCACTGGTTCTCCGCCAGCGTATCCCGTTAGCGCAGACGGGGTTACCATACCATTTTCACCCATCAAAAAAAAAAAAACTAGGCATTGATGGACTCACGTATGTGTGCTTCGGCTACGCCTCGGCCCACATTTGCACGTTTGTCTATCAATGCCTCAGTTGCTGGCCGCTGCAGTAATGTACTATACTCAAAATTGCGAAAAAAATGCCAATCTGCCAACAACGAAGCTGCCTGGTAAAAATTTTTATTTGCAATGGGTATAACTATTATGTCTATAAAAAATTGTAATGTCCCTCCTTTTAATTGGAATTAAATTGTTGTGTCATTCATGTACTACCAGAATAAAAAGAATGTAAAAATTAGTAAAACAATCTTGTTGTTTATGAAATTTAATGAAATCATTGTCTAATTTACATTTTATACATTGCTATATTTTACATTTTAAAATAACTTTGTTCCTAAATAGGTCACAATCTAACGAGACTAATAAATAACATAAAATTTAAATTTATATTTTACGTAGTTTCTACCACTACCTACCTACTTCTATTATTGCAAGTGTTTATTTACATTTTTTAATATTTTTCAATGAATATACAGCATTCAAAACTTATTCTTGCGTCTTACATCTTCGCTCTCGATACAAAGAAAATTTTGGTCCAGCTAATTCCTATACTAAACGCAACTTCTACTGAAGAGTAATTTCTTAATAATATATACGATTTTTAATAATATACACTTTTATACTAATTTATTTGAATTCTAATCAATTTTCTTAAGAAAAATGCGCAATAGTAAATTAGTGACTCATCATCAAATACGTATTACATAATTTACAATTAAATGCAGTTTGTCATATTTATCTATCAACTCGCTCACCATTCGACGTTTTACCATCGGCATAACAATGGTACATGTAAAACAATATTTATTTATTATGATTAATATTGGTAAAACATAAACAACAAACTTTACTGTATTATTTGAGCTAGACACATAGTAATCTACATTTTATAACTAAATATCCAATATTATTTAAGGCAAAATATTATTACTGAATAATAATTTTGTCACAAGTCGGACTTGATAAACTATTAAATGTTTCAACTTGTACGATACTGAAAAATATAGATAGTAAATTGATTTAGTTGCCTTTAAATACTTTATTAATCCTCATTGAAATTATGTATTTAAATCTAAATTTATTGCCATTTAATATTTTGCTCTTAATTTTACGAGTATTAAAATCAAGACCAGAGCACTTATTTACTAATCAGGAACAAATAAAACCTTTTGCTCACTAACAAGTAAAGATAGCAAATAATCTAAGTATTAAAAAAAAGTGATAGTAAAATGTAAATATTAGGCACAATAATTGCACTCAAACATAATGAGTGTTAGTATCGTTCAGCAATGATGAATGCCCATATTATTTTATGTATAAATTATATTGGTGGCATACCATCTCAGTTCCATAAGTTGATTGGTCTAGTGTCTCGTGAACGGCATCATATGCAATCATTTAATAGACAACTCTTAATGAACACGAACAATACGACTCACAATTATAACAAATTCCGGATTATCTGGCAGCGGTAGTTTTAAAATATATTTTAGGAAACCCAGCACTATTATTTCACCTTCACGTTAAGTTTATTGTAGGGTACATAAAACCGAGTGTCAAGGCTTGGCCTCTATCCTTAAATATTTGCATTCACATTCATAACTGGACTCACGTATAAATGCTGGTTTCTGAGACTCAACTCTTCCATTAGATAGCTGGTTTGATAGGTAGCTAAATTATTAAATATATGTATGATAGAATACTATTTTATGGATTAGTTAGCGATAATGACTCTATTGATAGATTATTTTGCCCCTTATTTAGGGACAGGTCTCCCAGGTACTTGCAATCGTCCGCTTTCGAACTGTATATCAGTTTCGTCAACCTTAAAATTACATGCCTAAACCAAAGTTGTATGCCCTTTCTCACCATACAAGAATGCGGGGACGACTGTTAAGTAGTATTGCTACCTGTGCTTAATTGTAGGTGCCAAATAGCTTTTTCATAACGTTGTTAAAATTTATTGTATTTCCAGTATTCATTCTTTTTTTCTATACCTGTAATGTATTTTCCATTTTTCCTAAATTCAGATGCACAAATATACATAATTAATAGATATACAATTTCATCGAAGCATAATCTTTGCTATGGTTTTGGAGTTTTCCATTATAAAAAATAATAGCTCTTGTTAATTAAAAACAAAATCAGGGACCTAGACAGAATGTTCATTGAAATATTGCCATTATTTCCGAAAGAGTGCCTAAAGATTCATGCACACTACAGAAGGCTATACTGCAACATAATGTATGGCAAGTTATTTATATATATTTTAAGTGTGATGCAGCCAATGGTAATATGCATGAGTACTAAGGCAAATAGAAATTTATTCAATGAATAAGTTGCCTAATGGTCCATTTATGATTAAAACATTTGAGCATATACTGAGGACCTATAAGAACTTATAAGTTTGTTACTAAAAAAATATTGTAATAATACTAATATGCAATAAGATATAAAACCTTTATAGTGATTTAAAAAAATAAGATATCAATTTGCTTCAACTTCATTTTTCATCAACTTAATTCATCATCACTAGTATTTTAAATTAATAGTTTATCAATAAAGGATTTTAATAAAATTGAGTGGATTAACAGGTAATACTTCTTCTAAAAATATAAATGAAAAAGAAATTAATGATTTGATAGGGAATATATATTACTTATATAATCATAAAGAAAGAAAATTAATTATTCTAAAATTTATATATTGCTATTTGCATACATAACTTACAAGAAAAATTTATTACATTATGATATGTACATATAATATTTTACTTGACTGCAGAAAAATTTTGTATTTGGTTGTTACTATTTGATGCCACCCATGAACTGAAGACATCTCTGAAAATAAATAATGATGTATTTTATTATTTTTATACAGTGAACACTTCTTTTTTTTCACAAACACAAAAACTTAAACTATGCATTATAGCATATGCACATAACAGAATATAAAAACATGGAATTGATTTCATTGAAATGTCAATTATTGGATTGATTGCAACTACAGAAATATTCAGTACACTTCATTTGAAGGAATATCTGCTGAAATATTTGTTGTCACCCTTGCTATGCTACAAAATATTAGTATCAGCACAGTGTAAGCAGCTATTAGTTCTTTATACTGTGGTTATAGTAATATATAATTTCCTAGAAGGTATATAAAACAAATTTAGCAAGGTAAAAAATATATTTTGATAGTTATACTATTAATTAGCTAATAACAAATTTAGTAATCTGCAAATAAAATGATATTAGTATAATTAATGAAGGGATAAAGGTACTATAGTAATTGCAAAACACAATTTCATAAGATTCCTATGTTGGTATATATTACATATATTTGGTAATTTGTAGTTAGATAAAAATGGTAAATATACATTTAATTAAATCTTAAATTAAATTACTGTTCGTTTAATACTTTTACAATAAGTTACTTATAAAGTATATATCATTCATAACAAAATTTTACCTGCAGTGACTGACAACACATTCATTGGAGCAGTACTCATCTTCCCATTCACTATTAGCTATGGCAGGGTTAGTACAGCCTTGGCGAATACAAGAAGGTGTACTTCTATTGTCATTCAGCTGCAAATGAAATAATTTTAATATTAGTTATTATTTGGATAGGATTTATAAGTCCAGGGATTCTTTAAAATGATTCAATCTTTATAGATTATAAATAATTTTATATTATATAGATTTATATATATTATCTATTTTATTATAAACAGCACTCACATCTGGTGACTGTTGTGGCATGCCTGAATTGCCATTATTATTGGATGATAGTTGCTCATTTTTTAGTATTGAATGATTTTGCTGCTGCTGTTGTTGTTGCTGCTGCTGCTGCTGTTGTTGTTGCTGCTGTTGTTGTTGTTGTTGTTGCTGCTGCTGTTGCTGTTGTTGTTGCTGCTGCTGTTGTTGTTGCTGTTGTTGTTGTTGATGCTGCTGCACTTGATGAGCTTGTTGCATTTGTTGATGAGCTTGTTGCATTTGCTGGAGAAACATATTTTTATTTTATATATAAATTTGACAAACAGAGAATAATGTTATAGGGCAATAATATATAAATGGAAAATGATGAATAATTATAGTTTATCAATAGGTATTTTATCTATATTTATCAATAAAAATAATATTTTAGTATCCATAAATATAATATAATACTAATTTAACATAGTGTTGTTACACTAGTTACTAAAAATTTTCAACTGAGTTTAATTAAATGAGATTTTAGATTATATACTAAAATATTTTATATGTGTGTAAGAGTATATTCATTAACTATTATAGTCTTGGGCAGCTTGGTATAGAGTTCATTTTAAGTTTTGCTTCTGTTGCAATGATGTCATATTTGTCCTTGTATTCATAATAATAGGAATAGATATATTTTTTTTTAATGTTATTTTAAAATTGACTTTAAATACCTGTTGAGAATGGTGGTACTGCATAACAGGATGGACTGATCCCATTGGAGGTGATTGTGAAGGCACCTGCCTGTAGCCCGGAGGTGATAAGGCTGAGCTTGCAGAGTAACTGGATGGAGACTGCGCAGGTTGGTAGCTTCTTGGTGACTGTCCTATATTAGGTTGGCAATTCTGTGGGGATGTAGCTGAATTCACTTGGTACCCTTGAGGTGACTGTGCTGTAACTCCCTAAAAAAACAGATACAATAAGCTAAAAAATTTAAGTTACTTAAGTCTATCTAGTATGACAGTAATAAGTATATGAGAAAAATGAGATATTGAAATATATATAAAAAAAATCTAATAAATATACACAAACATATAAATCCTTATTATTATTATTAAAGTAAAAGATTATGTGTTACCTCTCAATAATTTAACTAAATATTGTAAATAGTGGGCTGGAGAATTTTTATTCTGGACAATGAACATTTTAAGAAACATGCCAAATTAGATTACAATAATTATTAGAAGATGATTTTTACAATATAATTGTATTTATAGTTAAAGACTCGTCAGGTTTTATAATAGAAAAATAATAGGCAACTTCTAAAATTTGCTTTCATCTACTCATGGAATAGCAATACAATGCATCATCAATACTTATAAAATTGCTCATGTTTGTATATTTATTGTATAATTTATATTATTAGATATAAAAATTTAAGTAAATAGAAAAACTTTAAAAAAATTACTTGGTATGTCTGAGGTGTGTGGGCCATATTTCCTTGGTAACTCTGGGGTGATTGCTGGGGATTAGAAGGGTATTGGGCTGACTGCCCTTGATAAGTAGGTTGTTGTTGTGCACCAGAATAGTTTTGTGGTGAGTACCCTTGTGGAGCTTGGTTTGGAACGTAGTTCTGAGGTGAATGACCATTACCATATGCTTGCCCTTGGTAATAGTTACCATATGTTGGGTTAGTATTATTAGTGTGATTATAAATTGCTTGGTTTTCTTGTTCACCTCCCTAAAAATAAGAATAATTGTTGGTTATAACAATATTATATTACGCATAATCGTAACAAAACGTAAAAGATACACTTATCTATTATAATTTGAAATGTATTAAACCAGTTTTAAACAAAGGAATTGTATGGTTATGTTAATAAAAAATATACCTTAGTTTAAGTAGATATTAAATTGAATTGACTATTTAAGTATAATTGATAAAACTCTACAATAACACAAAATATGAATATTTATTACAAAATGTATGGTTTTTCTTAAAACAAATGAACTTACGAAAGCTCACTAAAAGCTCATTGATCATTTTAACAACGGTAACGTAAGAATTATTATAAAGCGAATTATTGATTGTAAATTACTAATGAAAAGTGTCTTGGATGTAATTTATTAAATAATAAAAACTTAAAAGCTTGTTTTTAAATAAAAACCTAAGAAGTAAGCGATCAACAGCAACCGACCGCCAAAACACAGAAAGAAAATGTAAATTTGACAAATGACAGGAGGAAAGACAGCTAGCACAGAGTACTTATATGAGACGCGTGCAGTGCGGTCCAACTAAATAAAAAAATAATATTCAAGTCGAGAAGCAACGAATGAAAATGTAGGATTCTAGTGTAAAGTGTTAAATATCGTTTATTCATTATCAGAATAATAATTATTATATATTTTAGAGTGGGCGACGAGCACGCTCTTTAAGGCAAAAATGTAAGAGGTTTAATTTAGTCTATGTCGCGACTTAAAGGAGGGTAATCAAACTATGTTGTTTATTTATTTGTGGCGTTTAAGATATCATTCGTGTAGACCGATTTTGATAATTCTTATTCATATCACTAAAGACATGACAATTAAACATTGTTAGCGACAAGCAAACACCATATTTTAAAAAGAAAACAATGAAAGTAAACTATGTTATTCGTATTTGCTTAAAGCATTCTTCCAGTCAACCATAGGGAAGTGTCCGAATATTCGAATGCGGTACTAATAATTATTTATATACATACATATTAAAATTACATATATAAACGAATAAATATATATATAAATAACAAATATACTTACACATATATAAAATATATTATACACGAAATTAGGAATATATATTTAAAATACTAAATATTTAAAAATTTAAACATCATACCCTGAGGGATGATGGGAAATGTAAAAATTTTGAATGTGAAGAATTTACTATGTTTAATTTTAATTATATATTTTTTTCAAATGTAGCAACAAAATATTATCACTCGATCTTTATTTATCTTCTTTAAATCTTAAATTTATCATATTGAGAATTAAGCACAAACATTTACTGTAAGAACGTTATTTAGATATTATTACAAAATGCTCGATTGGTTTTATGGGATGAAAATGGAATGGTAACTCTTTTGGTGTGTGTATATTTGTATACCTAACCGATACTCCGCCAGTAGGCGGAGTATTGGTTAGGTAAACGAATATGACTATAAATACTAATAGTACCATTTCCGGAGTGAATTTTTGTAAGAAAAAAAAATGTAAAAGCGGTTAGTAATAGAATGTTGATATTACCTGTGAATAAAAATTAAATGAATGAATCGTTTCACTAGATCGCAAAATTGTGCCGTATGCCGCAGAATAATGTAGGCTTATATAATCTGTGGTATAGGTATTTTATCCATCTAACGACTTTGAAGCAATCACGTTACATAATACTTTTGTTTTACAATTAGCGATCGCTTGCGAATCGTTCACTTATTTCCTCTTAGGGAATAAGAGGGTAGAATAGTTTTTCTGGTTGTAGTAGTATTACATTTACTTTCATTCTAAGTTCATTCGTGTATACTTACGTATTTATAAATTCTAGGAAATTACTTATAACAAATAATATCATACGGGTTATCATATTATAAGTTCTAGATTTTGAATTCTAATTGGTTTTGTATATAATTAAAGAAATTATATAATTATAAAGTACTTAGTCATTAAATAAATGAATAATTATGCAGGTTTGATAAATTATGAAATTTTACTTACCTTTGATACTAAACTAGCTCTATAAGCGGCAAGGGCTTTGAGGTATTCTTTTTTCGCTACTTCAGTTTTCTGCTTATAAACCTATGAGAAAAATATGCATCATTTATTTGAGTACAGATTCCAAGTTTTATTAAAAAAATGATTAAAGTATATGATTTTTACATAAGTAGGTATATTAAAAAAAATATTTCTTCCACTCACACTTTTATGTTCAGAATCTAATCCATCCCACATTGAAGCTACAATTTTAGACACTTCTCCAAAACTAGCATTGGGATTTTGTCCTTTTATGGCCGCCTGTGTATCTCGAAAGAACAGAGCATAAGCTGATACAGGCCTGTAAAGGTTTATAATATGAATAAGCAAGAAGAATAATAATTAACATTAAGTAGTGTTTATTGTAATATATCTCTGTGTGACATACTTTTGTGGCTCATTAGGATCTCTTTTTTTCTTTTTTTTCTGCACTTTGGGCTTTTTCTGCATTTGACCACGATTTACTCCATTATCCATTGGTTCTGGTGATGATCTTTTTACACCCATGTTGCTTACACCCATCTGTGCAATTTAAATATTAATTTTAAGTGCTATTTTTATTATAAAATAATTGGCATAATATATAACAAAATTTTATTAACTACACACCTAATTTATTTTTGAAATCAAACTCAAACTGGATGAGTTTATGGCTAAAGTTTAAAATGCATTAATGAATAAATTAATGCAATAATTTAATTTTAAAACAATGTTGTAACGGAAACTAATTCTTATTTTCTATTATGATTCATATCAAATAATAATAAATAAAAAAGTTGTATATGATATTATTGTACTTATTTATAAATATAGTTCATTGGTGATAGATGAGAAACTAGTTATGTATAAAGTGATAAAATTTGCCTATACCTGATGAAGCGTAGTTTGTTGCTGCCGGCTCGCTGAGCAATAATGGATAGGCAGAAGGCTTTCCGCATCACCAGGCAACTACCAACAAACAACCAATTCATTAATTTTTTATAATTATATTCTACCGATTGATAAAATTAAGTGTATGAAACAATGAAATAAAATACCAATGAACTATATTCACACTAAATAATTTAGGTAGGTACTTTACGTAGGTTTATATAAAAAAATTGGGCGGCCGCAGTAAAATAGCATTATACAAACAATGATTTATATATATATATATATATATATATATATATATATATATATATATATATATATATATATATATATTAGTTTGAAATGATTATACATATGAATGAATCATTTTTAATATTGAGTCTTCAAACTTTAAAATGAGGTAATAGCCTCACTATAATTTTTCTGTTTAGTTTACGTGATATCTTAAACAAATCTACATTTGTTTTAATCGTAAATATGTTGCTTTCTTGGTCCCATGTTACTTTTATAAGGATAGCAGTAGATTTTTTGTGGAATAGTATGACTTTTAGATATATAAAATAGAAAAACTCAATTTGTACTTTAATGAGAATTAATTTAGAAAAGATGTCATTTAAAAATAAATATTTTTAGTTATTAACTGTTATTAACATTTTTAACCAATGGATTCTTTGATTCACAAGATAATACAAAATAATAAATATGTTCACGATCATACTCTCTAAAGAATTTCTTACGAATTTGCGGACTGATACCACTGTAGTGGATGTAACACTCGACATGACTACGTTTTTCCAAGTGTCCAAGGACCTAACGTTAATGGGAGCGAGACTGCCATCGTTACTTGGTGTAATTCGATTTGTTATCGGTGTATTCCATCACCGGAGAATTAGTCAGAATTTTAGATTAACTCACGACTTCGGCGGTCTATAAATCGAGGTAGTACATTAATGGCTCACCACAGTCTCTCATTTACAAGACGATATTAATTATTTACCAGATAATTAAAATAAAATGCGAAAAGAAATTAGCCAAATGTAAGATATACCACAGTTAAAAATATACCATGTTATATAATGATATGACTAACATACATGATTTATTTCAATGGAGTAATATATATTAGAATTTATAAGCAGTTTTTAAAAGCACTATTAAAAAGCTTTACAATAAACAAAGTGATGCATATATTTATACTCCAAAATTATTTTGTATCAATAATTGTATTTTTGCCTTTGTACTTTTGTTTACCTCTGTCATATTTTTATAACTAATGTGTACAATAAAGTATTAAATAAATAAATAAATAATTGTGAAATATTTTGTTTATTATTTTATTTTGTACAATTGGAAATTTATAGAAATAATGCTACAACAAGCTAATGTTAGTATGAATAGTAACTATTATATACCTGGGAATGATGAGAAGGCACACTATCATCAGAATCATCACTTGTAGTGCCAGGTGGCGAAGCTCTTTGTGGGGATCCATACACAGGTCCTGAGGGCTGTGTGGGAGTACTGGGAGTGGGTGGCCCACTCATCACTTGTGTTGGCTGCATCATTAGTAGCCGTTGTTGTCCACCCGGCTGTTGCTGAATGATGTAGTTACCAGCCGGGGCACCAGCACCACTAGAACTTTTATTTTATTAGTATAAATATTCAGATATAAAAATCACAATAAGCCCATTATTTAAAACATATGACATCTAATATTGTCAATAAATTTAATTATATTGTTGCTTAGAATAAAGCATATATAACAATTTAAAATTATTGAAAAAAAAAGAGTAAAATGATACCTATGAGAGGTAACTGGCGTATGGGGTTCTTGCAAGTAGAGAGGTTGTTGGTAGGAAGGAGCACCACCAGGTGGTGCCAAACCGTCTTGGGCCGGATTCATCATGCCAACCTGTTGAACAATGACCTGTTAACTTTCTTAATTATATAATATTATCATACTTACTTGTACAATAATTCGTCATAGTCGTAGAATACTGACGGATCTGACAAATATTACATATAAAGATCCGTCAGTATTCTATGACTATGACAAATTAGTCCACGACACTAAGGTTGTTTTGAAAAGATTGTTCTTAGCAATAAGACTGCCTTACTGTACTTATACAATTGTATCGTTATATTTATTGTTGTACTTATCTCTTATATAGCTAAAATAAATTATTGACAAATATATTCTATTTGTCAGTAATTTAATTTAGCTAGTATTTCTGGGACAATTTCAATGAAATTTGTGTACATTTTCATTAAGATGTATTGAAATAGACTATACAAGTTTACATTTCATCATGTCAAGTAACAAGCACTGAAACTATTAGTGTCAATTACATTATTGTACAAAAAGCTTTTAAATACTATTATGCAGGAATGGTCTTGCTTACTTGGTGCTCCTCAGCAAGTTTTACCTCAAAAAATAAATAAATAAATAAGATTGCTACCTTTGTCATTGTCAATATAGGTAATAGGAGAGAAAAGGGAAATGGGGCTGCTAGTCCTCATTACTAGTAATATACTATACTACTACTACTATACCTAGCAGGTCGTCCTACACACAGTCTCCACTGGAAGCTATTACAGTTAATTTCTTATGAATTCATCAATATTGGCCAACTGCCTTGCTCTCATCCTCACCTTTCATTTCTCATTGGTGCCCCACCAGTGTATCTATCTATATACTCATATAGATCATAGAGGAGATCTACTATCCAGGATAATCCATTGAAAAAAATGTAATACATTAAGTTTATAGGTAATGGTTTCATATTTCCAATAATGGGTTTTGCTTGTTTACCATTCTTAATCATATTATAGAAAAATATAAGTTTTTAAAATTTATATAGTATGATATTATGAAAAATTTTATCCAATCAAATTTAGATAAGTTTCGTTTTCACAGCATCATTCTGCTACACAGAAATTCTGCAGGATCTAAATTGGTTTAAAAATTGACACATGACAAACAAGTTTTTAATCGGTAAAATACTCTTATAAGAAAATTAACAATATAGAAGTTGTAGATATTAATACTTAAATAAAAAAAAAAGATAACTAGTTATACAAAATTATTATTAAATTTTATTACAAATACTATTTAAAATTGAATTAAATGGTGATCCACTGTTGCATACAATAGTTACAGTTAAGACAAATAATATATATCACACATTATTTTGTATTTGTTTAACAGTTTATTATAACTGGTTAGCAATTTGATGGCAATAATAAGTAAATACATAGGTACAATTTACTAAAAAAAAAATATTATCAGTTCTCAAACAATACTACCCAGGTACCTATTTGTTTACTTTCATTAAACTTGTCTAATAGCTATATTTTAAAGTTTGAAATAGGATTCAAGATTTTTGTTTGTGAAACGTGTATAAATAAATACAGATGTTAATATAATTTTATAGGATATTATATACAATCATGTAAAAGAAATTTTTAGCAAAGCTGCTTTAGCATGTTTCTTTAAATTATACTTACTAGAAGTCAAAATTTACCTTTTTAGTATTATACAACTATTATTTTGTTTTATTTAGATATCTACCGTTTGATTGTTTCTATAAGTACTTTATTATTATTATTGGGTAAATATTGATTTAGGTTATCGTGTACATTAAAATTTTGTGTTAATGGTCATAAAGATTTTAGGTAACTAACCGATATCAATATGTGCATAAATAGGAAGTAAAACACAGAACACAATAATATAAGTAGAAAAATATTTCTAAAGTTTTAGAAAGAACAAAAACAAACAAATATAGTAACTATATAACATACTGAAGCATACAAAACATGATTGACATTGACAGTAGCGAACGATATGCGAATTAACTAATACGACTATTATTATTCGACTGGTCAATTCATTCCAATTATTCGAATGAATTTGAAATCATGCGAGTATTAATTTTTATCATTTTACTATTTTTCTAATTTTATACATTTACTATACTGGGTTCTGTTAATTGCTAAAATATTTGATGAGTAGGTGTTAATCTGTGTTCATTTATGAGTCGGTACGAATGTAACGGCCTGTTGGAATAGTGAGACTTTATCTAATGTTTAGTATATTAAATAAACTTTAAAAAATAGAGTATTGTTTTTTGGTCGTACCACCACCTTAGACTATATCGGTTAAGTATCTTAATACAAATGCTTTGAAAGCGGGTCAAGTGTATGTGACAGGGATACCAGATTAGAAATTATTACTTTAAGGTAAATAGGTGAAGGTCGTAACTTAGAGTATTATTAAGGATTCAATAATCTTTTATAATATTTAACTTATCTTTATTATTATTTATTTATTTAGTAAGAATAATGCGTAGTTAAAGAATGCGGTAGACAGAACTTCGTAAGTCTTTCATATTGTTTTAAAAATTAGTAAAATTTTGAAGTAATGGCTGAATATTGATATTTGTGGATCCCTAAGAACAAGAAAATACATAGAAGGAATGATAAAATAAAAACTGTAAATCATATGGTTTTCTTTTATGGGTGAAAATGGAATGGTAATCCCGCCTGCGCTAACGGGATACGCTGGCGGAGCACCAGTAAAGTGTGATAGCCAGTAAAGTGTGATAGATGAGAATGAAAACAGGCCTGTTAGTCCATCATGATGAATTCATCAGGAATTAACTATAATAGTTTCCGGGGGGAACCGCGAGGAGGAGGGGGGAGGCGCGATTGCTAGCAAAGGGACTCTCAGTCTCCATTACTAACAATCCCTTTCCCCCCAATCATATGGTTGCCTCCTATCCTTTTATGCAAATATAATTAGTAAAAAGAGGACGATAGATATTAGTTGCTTATTTTCTCAAGTCATAGCAGGCTAGTGTATAGAAAATGTTATACGACCGTATAACCCTACCAAATCCAGATACAATCTGCTTGCATACTTTCTATATAAACTGTGTCGACTATATAATTCAGTAATGTAAAATTTGTTATTGTCAAATAATTGACATATAAAACATATTCTTCCTTTCATTCATTTCTAGTCTACTACGAATCAAGAAAAAAAGTAATTGATAGTATATCTCACGCCATTTTTTTTGCTAATAATATTAGCATAAGAAAAAAGGAGGCAACCATATGATTTACTGTTTATATTTTAACATTTCTTATATGTAATACCTTGTTCTTAGGTGAATCCATGTGTACTATAAATTTGGTTGGATAATGCCACTAAAAATGGCGGCTATTTAGATTTTTTTTATTTGATCGATTTCTTTGAATACGAAATGTAGAATCTTTGTAGATTTGAAACATGTATTGGTGTCAGAATTAATTGAAGTGTGAGACATTTTAATTTTATGCGGGTTATTAGAAATATTTACATATGGGAAATTATTACTTAATTAATCGTAATACTATATAAGAAACAGAATTTTATTGTTGACATATACACAAATACTGATTTTCAACCTTTAACTTAAAATGTTGCAAATTTTTAAAGTAATATTTTTAAGCAGTTCCTATTTAAGATCTGTGTTGTTGTCGGTAGAATTTTTGTCATTTACTACGATTTTTAGCTAGTATCTTTACCTTTTAATACCACTCAATACTTTTTCCTTGATCTGCCTAATGTACTTAATCCTAAGTAGAAAGTCCTCTTTACTAATTCGATCTTTCCAGTTAATTTTTTTCATCCTTCCACAGCACCACATTTCAAGAGCTTTAATTTTTTCTGGTTCTTTCTGGTTTAGTGTTCGTGAAGGGATTGTTAGTAATGGGGAGGTTAGTCCCCATTGCTATCAATAGACCCTATCAGGTCGACCACCACGCGGTTCCCCCTGGAAACTATCGTAACTAATTTATCGTTGAATTCATCACGATGGACTAACTGACCTGCCTTTTCATCCTCCTATTACCTATCACCTCTCACTGTAGCCCCGCCGGTGTGTACCAATAGCGCAGGCGGGGTAGTCATGCCATTTTCACTCATTAAAAAACCCTGTTATTTAGGGGAGAAAGGGATTGTTAGTTATGCGGACTGTCAGTCCTATTGCTAGCTATATACTCTATCAGGTCGACCTCCATGCGGTTCCCCCTGGAAACCATCGTGCTGAATTCCAGGTGTATTCATCACGATGGGCTAACTGATCTGCTCTTTCATACTCACTTATTACCCCTCACTGGTATCCCGCCAGCGTATATACCGCCGTTAGCGCAAGCGGGATTACCATTCCATTATCATCCATTGAACAAAATAACCCTGTTATTCATAAAAACTTTAGACTTCTCATAAATCTATTTAAGCCATTGATTTTTTTTCTATTGTATTAATTACTTAATTTGAAGGGCTTTGACAAAACACAATAATAATTAAAATAGGTTTGTAGGATGCTTTAATTTTATGAATAAGTTAATGTTATAAATCTGTAGATACCTTTTTACTGTAACATTAAATGGAACATTGACAGGCAATTTAATTTCAATAAAAATCAATTTAAAATGTAGGACGGCACCGGATTCCATTGTGCCATTGAGTAACTATATTTGGTGTCATTGTCTACGAAATCAAATAACATCTAAGTATCAATTTGTTATAAAATAAAAAATGTAACTATAATGTATGGTAAACAATTTTTTTATTATTGGCAATAGAGAGCAATGAAAGTCAATAACTCTATATTTGTATCGTAAGTACCTACTTGTATCTATCATAATTTTAACATTTTATTTTAATATCTTGAATCGTAATAAAAAACCGACATGAGAGCCATGGGGGAAAGGGGGGTTAGTAATGGGGTCTAACAACTTTATCGTTAGTAATGTGCCCCATCAGGTGGATTCTCACGGGTAAGTATATTTGAATTCCTTACGATGGGCCAACTGATCTGCTTCATTCTCACCTATCATTCCTCACTGGTACCCTGTCAGTACATACCGATAGAGCAAGCGGGCTTACAGATTCGTTTTCACTTATTAAAAAGGACATCATCATTTTCTTCTGCCGATACTGCCACCCATTCTTTGAACATTAAGTTACGCTCATGGAAAAGGGTTGGTCCATTCTATGCCGGGGTCGCACGGTGTAAAAAAATGAGAGAACATAATTAAACCATTTGATCATATTATTATCATCATCATCATATCAGTCGTAATCTGTCCACTGCTAAACATAGGCTTTCTTCATAAAGTGCCATAAGAACGGTCCTGAGCCACTTGCATCTATTGACACCCTGCAATGCATTTAAGGTCGTCACTGCATCTAGTTTGGGTCGCTTTACATTGTGTTTGTCTGTATGGAGTCGTCACTCAAGAACCTTTCTTTTCCATCGGTTATCGGTTCCTCGAGCTATATGACCAGTCTATTGCCACTTCAGCTACTTATCCTTCATATATATATATATATATATATATATATATATATATATATATAGCCCATATTGGTCACTTTTGTTCTTCTGCAAATATTCTGATTTTGGATTTTATCACTCAAGAAAACTCTACCGGCAACACATTGGTTAATGAGCTTCGTCTTCCATATATCCTTTCTATTATAATCTTCGTCTTCAGTAGACATAACCATATATTACTATTATTATATTACCATATATTAGACTACAAATCCATTGACCCATTGTGTATTTAGTATTCTCGTAAAAGTGGCCCCATTACGACCGTATTTGAGTTCATTACTAACAATGCACTAATCCCAGGACCACGTGATGGTCGATCTGACTATAAATATTTTGTAAGTAATGGAGACAATTAATCTCCATTACTAACATTACTAAAAGATTATTGACACATAGTAATTACTACGTATAATAAATTAAAAAGTTTTCTATTTAATTTATTTTACATAGTGATAGTCCACAATACCTTATCACTAAACAAGTAGTTTAGTGATAAGGGGTTGTTGACTATCTTATTAAATTCATGAACCATTTCCAGTTAAAACTTTTGTTATAGAATTTTTGTAAGTATTTTAACGGGAAATGATTTGTTTTAATATTATATATTGTATTTACAAACTGTATATGTGACTAAAATAGTCGATATATGTGTCTGACAAGTAGCAATAATTAAGAATTCTTGTTTCACCACGATAGATGTTTGATTTCAAATAGTACTGGATCATTCGCTTCCAACATTATTTTATAATGATTAACTCTAGTAGGGTTCCGTGCGAACAAAGTACAAAGGAACCCTTACGGAGCGACTTTGTCCGTCCGTCTGTCACAGCATTATATTATAGTTACTCATGCTATCGATTTAAAATTTGGAAAAGTTTTACATGTTGTTAGCCCACACATAATAAAATGCAAAATTTCATTGCTAGGGAGTCCTAGAGGGGTACTTAAAATTTTAAAATAAATTTACTACTATTTTCAAATAGGGTATCATATGAAATGGCTTTATTTGTGAATTTTAGAACTGATTTATATTTATTTTTGTACTGCGTAGTCTAAGAGACGTTATGTTAAAAAATGTGAGAAAAAAAAAATATCTAAAATAATTACAGTTTATACAACTAGTTGTCGTTTTCAAGAAATTATCAATAAAATCTCCAAAAATAAATTTAGTTGTGCGGGTCAGTTTTTAGCCACAATTATGGCCCGAAATATAATATAAAAAAATAATAATATAAGAAATTTAAATTATAGTTTCAATAATAGTAACTATTAGGTGTCTACTTAAATGAGAAATGCAATAAATGTAATTTTATTTCATATTTATATATAATAAATATATTATTTACAGAATCTGTATATTTATAAAATTTGGCAACGCGCGTGTGGCATCCCTGGTGTTACAGGCGTCCATAGGCTACGATAACTCCGTTTAACATCAGACGGGCCGTATGCTTGTTTGCCATCAAAGTAGTATAAAATTCTCGGTGTAGGAATTTAACTCGTACCTGACTGATTTTTGAATATATTACTAGCTGAACCGGTAAAAGTTTTGCTTCCGTTGTTTTATCGCTAACTACCGGACCCATTCTATCTTATCTAGATAAAATTATCCTATATCTAAAGTTAAAGTAAATAACATAATGTTAATATTTGATTGAAATGTTTGAATTGGTAGGTAGTTTGTAAGGGAAAAAGAAAAATAGGGATTCAATGTTTTTCCAGGCATTTCTTGCACTTTCTGCAACAGACTTCAAAAAGAAGGAGGCTCTCAATTCAGTTGTATTGTTTTATGTTTCTTATCCCATAATTCCGTTAGATCTTTTGATTATTTGGATTTTTTATGTATCAAAAAGGATACACTTACAGATAGGTCACATAGAAATTTTATCCAAATCAGTTCAGTAATTTAGTTTTTAAATCAATATAAACGATTTTGTCACAATTGAAATAGGTTTTTTTTATGGGTCAGAATCTTTAATTATCTCTTCATAAGAATCTTACTTAATATTTTATAAATATTAGAAAAAAAAAAGGCTGATTGAATTCAGCTGTTCTTGAGCTTTTCGCTTAGCAACACATTTAGCAATTCATTACATTACAATCATTTAATAGATTACAAACCTGAGGAGCAGTATGGTGCAACTGAGTGTATGGAATATGTGAGTTTTGCACTCCTGCAGGTGTTGCATGCTGGCCATGCATAAGGGGAATGTCGAACTCTTCGTCGCCGAATGATGGTGTATGAAATGTCTGGAACAAAGTATTAAAATCATAGTAGTATCAACTTATTTTTTTATACGTTCAATGTTGTGTTTTTTTAGAAAATCTAAAGTATGTTATAAATTATATATTATTACTTTGATATTGTAATTTGTTTCATATTGTTAAGCAGGTACAATATACATACACATTTAGTGTACATTGGCCATCTAATTACATTTGTATTACAGGATAGGCTTAATGTTTGGATGTTACCACCTGCGTGGTAGTCGAAATTAATCTAAACGCGAAAAACCTATGCTCTATGATGAAAGCATACGAAGGCATCGAATCGTAATTATTTCATGATTCGTTTGATTGATTCAGAAATAACTTAGGTAGCTACATGAGTTTTAATTCCAGTGAATAGTTAGTCACACTTATATATGTATATATAAAAACGTTTCAGTTACAATATAAGTTTTAATGATTTATAATATAGGTAGTAATAGGTTTTACCAACCTGATCATTCATAGCGTACACAGTCTTCGTGTCACGAGGAACTGACAGAGGCGACTCGATGTTTTCTGGTCGCTATAAACAAAACATAATATTTTTATATGGGTTTTGTGATAATTAAAATTAAGTTGTTATACATATATATATATATATATATATATATATATATATATATATATATATATATATAATAATATATATATATATATATATATATATATATATATATATATATATACGTATTTAATGAACTTAATTTAGTGTTGTTTTGGAGTCCACTACGAGTTAATTAGATAAATTGATGGTACTTAGGGACTATTAGAATAGTATATATTATATAGTATAATAGTAGTAGTTTATTTATAGTTGCATAATTAAATATGTTAATAAATATATATAATTAAGTATATATAAATATTTTTGTGTGTTTAAACTAGGTGCAGTTTTGTATATGTAATTAAATAAAATAGACTGTAGATTTCGTAGACGGGTTGTCAGAAGCTACTTTTAGTTTTTACCCAAATATTTATTACTTTTTCTCCAAGTCGATATATCAATTTTCCATGGTGTCGTTTTACCATGTAACTACAAAGTTAAGCACGAAAAAATTGCCCTTCTGTTTCTACTGTTTAAATAAGAAAAATGTCATACAATTTTTAGAAGTAGTATTTTGATAGCTTATATCTACGACAAGGATTTTACATTGTGTGCGCAGGCTTTAAAAGACTAAAGAACGCTGAATAAAAGGTCAATCTTAGAATCAGTTAGGTTTATCTCTTGTTTATCTATATGTTGTTATATATATATGTTGTTTGTAATTATTATTATTTCAGCCGTTAACTGTCCACTGTTGGACATAAGCCTTCCCCATAAGGGGAGTTTGGCCAATAGTTGCCACGCTTGGCAACTGCAGTTAGGCTTTTACAGATGTTTTAAGAGGGACGCTGCTGCACATACCTCGCTCTCCCTTAGTCGGCTCTTACGACATCCACGGGAAAGGAAGGGGTGGCCCGTTCTATGCCGGGGCATATCCGGCATTTGTTTGTAATGGATGAACTCAAAAAGTACACAACTGATTTTAAATTATTTTTTATAAATATATTATATAATTATTTAATTAAATATATTATTTAATTATTATATATAAATATAGATAATAAGCTATATAATATTAAAAAGAAAATTACAATAACATAACCCAAAGTATCAAAAATTTGCATATTGAAGCTAATATAAAACACCATAATAATTTATCTTTCTCTTTATTTATCCGAGTGAAGTAGGAGCGGATTGCGAGTTTTATATAAAAACAAATAAAAAATAATGTATTTATTGTACGCGAATAAAAACGAGCGACGACGATTATAATTTTGATTTTTATAATAATTTATAGTAAATAAGCAATTTTATGCCTCCTATTGCCACAGATAATACATTACGTCGAAGATCGTCCCATTTCTTTTTTTTGTGTGCTGATGGAAGCCTAATAATGATATCATACACGTTTACATATCATTAGATTATAAAAAACCAACAAAATACCACATTACATGTACATTTATTTTGCCATTATCTTTCAGTTATTTATCGAAATTGGGTAAGTACAAAAACTTCACTGTCTGTCTTCTACATAAATCTAGTATAAATAATAATATTTATACCTATGAATGAGAATTAAAAACATAAATTATCATTTATATATATCAGGTTACTCAGAAAGTATTGCGAGAAAAAGTTTTTTATGTACGTTCTAAAGTCAAAACTTCCCTCCAGCTTTTTTGCGAGCTAATTAAAATTACCGTGTCTCATTGAAAAATGCATTTGCGTCGAGAACATTTTCGCGCTATGATTTTTTACGATTTTAAGTGTCGCCTGAAATCGGACGAATCGTACCATAGACTACAAATGACATTCATGGATGAAGGCGCTTCTAAGGCAACCATGTATCGTTGGTATAATGAATAACTTTGGGGGATGAAGAAAAAAGTGTTCGCCCTTTGACAGCTGTTACGGAAGAAAACGTGCTACGTGAAAACGTGCTAAAAATTTGATCCAACACAATAGACGAGTTACATACCAAGAAATCAGGAAGCTTTCACGAAATTCTATTCTGTATATCTATTCTTCATGGGATACGGCAATTCACGAATAATAGAAATAATTAGAAAACAAATATGTAACATGCTCTTAAATACTGAGAAGTAAGTAAAATTTGTCATTGTATATTGGTTTCATCATTATATTTAATTTATTACTGGAGTTAAACAATATATTGTAGGTATAATGCTATTGTTGTATACGTCTGTTATTAATTTTTTCAATCTTATAGTTAAATATACACATACATTGTATATTTAACTATATTTGTGTCTTAGATTATATAGATAGTGTCTTCACTAAAAACAGCTTAATTTTTCATCCATGTTGCCTGAACAGTGTTATCATAAGTCATATAATAAAATCGTAACTGATCGCTGTCTATACATGGAACATATATAAGAAAAAAACTATTATAGGGGGGCTTTATGAACGCAAAAGAATCCAAAACAATGATTTAGAATTTTTGTGTTTGTTTGCACGTTTGTGCATGTTAATCTCAGAAATAGCTTAACCAATGTAAATGTGGTTTTTATTAGTTTGTTGCGGTTTGCTCCACTTAATATGTAGTGTTTGTTTTATTTCAATCTATTTATAAATAAAAAAGTTATACCAATCTAAACACTCATATATAAAATGCTATAATATAACCTATCATATCATTTAAGTATTATAATATAATGAGGAGTGAGTGATTGCTTAGAGGTCATAGCGCTAATGCAAGTTAAGCAACCTTAGCCCTGGTTCAAAGTAGGATGGGTGGCCACAATCCGTACTATATGGAATGGAGGTTACTTTTTACCGCGGTCAGTAAATATAGCCCAGTCAAGTAGTCGCGGGCGATAGCTAGTTGAAAAATAAACATAAAGCAAAATTTGATTGAAAATGGCTGTCATTTTAATTATTACATGTATTTTTTTTTATACAACTTAGAATGGCAAACAAGCTGACGGCCCACCTGATGGAAAGCGGTAACCGTCGCCTATAGACATGAGCAGTACCATGGATATAACAGAGTATACTGTTTCGCCCATGATACCCCCATGCGATACTATTCCTGAGGATTCAGGTGTTATTCCTCTGTACCCTGTAAATTCACGCCATATCCCACCCTTCAAACCGAAACATAATATATTAATTTGTAAGCAATATGAACATATGTTGTGCCGTGTGGTCCTGGAATAGAATTGGCCAACTCTTCTTTTCCTGTAAGTGTTGTAAGAAGCGACTAAAGGAGCTTAATGGTCGAAAGATGGACAGCAATATCCCTCTTAAAACATCTCCAAGATTTAACTGCGGTTGCTAACCGTAATGTATATTTATATAATATTAGAAGAAATAGTTCCCAATTCCAATTTAAAAAATCGACTTAGTGTGAAATATTTTTAATTTAAATACTTGCAACACTGAATAAATAGCGCGTTTTGTCTTAATTTAAAAATGTTGATATGATTGACACGTTTATGACTCTCAACGCTGTAACTATATAATCTAAGGCTTACGTATACATTGTGTGTATATATACGAGAATATCAATGTATATGAATGCATGTTGTAGTGGCTCTTAATTAAAGCAACATTTTCAAATACTTCTTTTAAGTGGTTGTTCTTAAATAAATAAATACAAATAAAGCAATTAAAATAGTACAAATTAATTGTCCAAGTAGATAGTTAACCGTCACAGAAGTAGCTAGGTTTTACTGGCCTTGTTTTGGTTGTTGTAGTTTTGAGTCAAATATAAACTCAGGTATGAATATACTAGTATATTTTAGGATTAATCATAATCATCGAAGGAAGGGAAAGGGAAAATTTTAGTAAAAATAATAGTGCCATTGATGATAATATAATTATAACCTATCAATTCGATCTCTACGCTATCTCCCCTGGTTCTCATTAATTTTATCACGTATGTAATTGTATATCCAATTATAATAAATTAAATGTATAATTAAATAAATAGTACTTGTAATTTATATTTTTCGAATAAAATGCTAACTGTTTTCTGTAGATTATAACTAAAAATATAATAAGTAGATATAAAATTCATTATAATGAAACTCTACTCAGTTATGTGACCACTGGTAACGTCGCATATTTCTTTTTATCAAAGTATAAGGTGCTTCAGATGTGAAGATGTAGCGTAACTTTTCGAATGCTGCTCATTTGAATTGGATTAATTGATTAAATCTTCAGTCAATGTTGGACTGAACCTGAGAAGTTGTAATTCAGTAGCTTATAATTGATCTTGTGTTACATACATTGCCGTGTGGTCATAGAATGGGTTACACCTTTCATTCCTGTGGGTGTATTAGGAGGCGATTAAGGGAACTTAAAGGTCGATGGATGGGCAGCAGCGTCCCCCTTACAACATTACCAAAAGCCTTGCTGCGGTTGCTAATCCAACTACTAGCAAAAGCCCTCAATAGAGGGAGGCCTCTGTCCAGCAGAGGACAGTTAACGGCTAATATGTTGTTGAATTGGTATTTTGGAGGAAACAATAAAGAGTATCTATCTATCTATCTACGTGTTTGAAATATTTTTAGTTTCCTTTAATTAAATAACTGTGGTTGTTATTCATGTTATTGAATCATACTCTTGCAGTTGTTAATTGGCTTTATTTATCGATAAACTTAGAAAATAAGCTAGAGACGCATGAAATATTTAACGAAACACTAGTCATTTTAAGAAATGTCTAAACTCGTTCTGATTTCATAGGCATTAATTCCACTTAAAAACTAGCGTTTTATTTTATGAGTAGAAACGCGGATAAAGTCGTAAACACAGCTAGTGATAATATTAATCTAGTCGTATAATATTTACGAATCGATGACTGTATCGAAATCAATGTGAGGAATTCTGAAACAAATAATTCATTAAATGCAATTAATATTAAATGCCTAATAGAAAGTTAGCTTATTATTTATTAAAAAGCTAACTTTATAAAATGTATCAGAGTTTTGTCATGATATTGAATTTAT